ATTGTATGTTCATGGCTCCTTTATTGTATATTAATTGACCACATATGTTTGGGTTTATATCAGGGCTCTCTCGTCTGTTCCATTGGTCAATGGCTCTGTTCTTGTGCCAGTACCAAATTGTCTTGATTACTGTGGCTTTGTAGTAGACCTAGAAGTTGGGGAGCATAATCGCCCCAGCTTAATTCTTTCTTCTCAGGATTGCTTTCGCTATTCGGGGTCTTTTGTGGTTCCATATGAATTTTAGAACAATTTCCTCTATTTCATTGAATATTTTGCTGTTGGTATTTTGGTAGGAATTGCATTGAATCTGTAGATTGCTTTAGGCAGGATGGTCATTTTGACAATATTATTTCTTCCTACCCATGAGCGTGGGATGTGTTTCCATTTACTGGTATCTTCTATAATTTCTCTCATGAGTGTCTTGTAGTTTTCAGAGTATAGGTCTTTCACTTCCTTGGTTAGTTTATTCCTAGGTATTTTATTCTTTTTGATGCAACTGTGAATGAAATTGTTTTCCTGATTTCTCTTTCTGCTAGTTCAACATTAGTGTATAGGAGTGCAACACATTTCTGTGTATTAATTTTGTATCCCGCAACTTTATTGAATTCAGATATTAGATCTAGTAGTTTTGAAATGGATTCTTTAGGGTTTTTTTATGTACAATATTATGTCAACTGCAAACAGGGACAGCTTAACTTCTTCTTTGCCAGTCTGGATGCCTTTTATCTCTCTGTGTTGTGTGAATCCCATCTCTAGGACCTCCAGTAGTATGTTGAATAGAAGTGGGGAGAGTGGGTATCCTTGTCTTGTGCCCCATCTTAAAGGAAAAGCTTTCAACTTCTCGCTGTTAAATATAATGTTGGTTGTGGGTTTGTCTTATATCGCCTTTATTATGTTGAGGTATTTGCCCTCTATACCCATTTTATTGAGATTTTTTATAATGAATGGATGTTGAATTTTGTCAAATGCTTTTTCAGCATCTATGGAGATGATCATGTGGTTTTTGTCCTTTTTGTTGATGTAGTGGATGATGTTGATGGATTTTTCGAATGTGGTACCATCCTTGCATCCCTGGAATAAATCCTACTTGATCATGATGGATGATCTTTTTGATGTATTTTTTTAATTTGGTTCACTAATATTCTGTTGAGTATTTTTGCATCTATGTTCTTCAGGGATATTGTTCTGTAATTTACTTTTTTTGTGGTATCTTTGCCTGGTTTTGGTATTAGAGTGATGCTGGCTTCATAGAATGAGATTGGAAGTATTCTCTCTTCTGCTTTTTGGAAAACTTTAAGGAGGTTGGGTATTAGGTCTTCAGTAAATGTCTGATAAAATACAGCGGTGAAGCCATCTGGTCCAGGAGTTTTGGTCTTAGGTAGTTTTTTGATTACCAGTTCAATTTTGTTGCTGGTGATTGGTCTGTTCAGATTTTCAGTTTCTTTCTGGGTCAGACTTGGAAGGTTGTATTTTTCTAGAAAGTTGTCCATTTCTTTTAGGTTATTCAGTTTGTTAGCATATATTTTTTCATAGTATTCTCTCATAATTCTTTGTATTTCTGTGGTGTCTTTAGTTGTTTTTCCTTTCTCATGTCTAATTCTGTTTATGTGGTAGACTCTTTTTTCCTTGATAAGTCTAGCTATGGGTTTATTATTTTGTTTATTTTCTCGAAGAACCAGCTCTTGCTTTCATTGATTCTTTCTATTGTTTTATTCTTCTCGATTTTATTTATTTTTGCTCTAATCTTTATTATGTCCTTCCTTCTGCTGACTTTGGGCCTCATTTGTTCTTCTTTTTCTAGTTTTGTTAATTGTGAGTTTAGACTGTTCATATGGGATTGTTCTTCTTTCATGAGGTTGGCCTATATTGCCATATACTTTCCTCTTAGCACAGCCTTCGCTGTGTTCCACAAATTTTGCAGTGTTGAATTATTGTTGTCATTTGTCTCCATATATTGCTTGATCTCTGTTTTTAGTTGGCCATTGATCCATTGGTTATTTAGGAACATGTTGTGAAGCCTCCATGTGTTTGTGGGATTTTTCATTTTCTTTGTGTAATTTATTTCTAGTTTCATACCTTTGTAATCTAAGAAGCTGGTTGGTACAATTTTAATCTTTTTGAACTTACTGAGGCTCTTTTTGTGGCCTAGTATATGATCTATTCTTGAAAATGTTCCATGTGCACTTGATAAGAATGTGTATTCTGCTGCTTTTGGATGTACAGTTCTGTAGATGTCTGTTAGGTCCATCTGTTCTAATATGTTGTCCAGTGCCTCTGTCTCCATACTTATTTTCTGTCTGGTTGATCTGTCCTTTGGAGTGAGTAGAGTGTTGAAGTCTCCCAGAATGAATACATTGCAGTCTATTTCCCCTTTAATTCAGTTAGTATTTGTTTCACATATGTAGGTGCTCCTGTGTTGGTTGCATAGATATTTATAATGGTTATATCTTCTTGTTGAATTGATCCCTTAATCATTATGTAATGTCCTTCTTTGTCTCTTGTGACTTTCTTTGTTTTGAAGTATATTTGGTCTGATACAAGTACTGCAACTCCTGCTTTTTTCTACCTTTTAGTTGCATGAAATATCTTTTGCCATCCCTTCACTTTTAGTCTGTGTATGCCTTCAGTTTTAAAGTGAGTCTCTTGTAGGCAGCATATAGATGGGTCTTGTTTTTTTATCCATTCAGTGACTCTATATCTTTTGATTGGTGCATTCAGCTATTAAACCTTAGGAACATTTCCATCTATAGCAGTCCCTCCACAATATACTATAAAGACAGTTTGTGGGTGATAAATTCTCTCAGCTTTTGTTTATCTGGAAATTATTTAATCCCTCCTTCAAATTTAAATAATAATCTTGCAGGATAAGGTATTTTTGGTTTGAGGCCCTTCTGCTGCATTGCATGAAATACATCATGCCACTTCCTTCTGGCCTGTAAGGTTTCTGCTGAGAAGGCTGATGATAGCCTGATAGGCTTCCCTTTGTATGTGATCTTATTTCTCTCTCTGCCTGCTTTTAATAATCTGTCCTTATCCTTGATCTTTTCCATTCTAGTTACTACATGTCTTGGTGTTATCTTCCTTGGCTCCCTTGTGTTGGGAGATCTCTGCACCTCCATGGCCTGAGAGACTATCTTCTTCCCCAGATTGGGGAAGTTTTCAGCAACTAGCTCCTCAAAGAACTTTCTATCCCTTTCTCTCACTCTTCTTCTGGCACCCCTATAATACAAATATTGTTCCATTTGGATTGGTCCCACAGTTCTCTCAATATTCTTTCATTCTTTGAGATCCTTTTTTCTTTCTGTGCCTCAGCTTCTTTGTATTCCTCTTCTCTAATTTCTATTTCATTTATCTTATCCTCTACTGTATCTAATATGCTTTTTATACCCTCAATTGTGCTCTTCAATGATTGTATCTCTGACTGGAACTCCTTCCTGAGTTCTTGAATATTTTTCTGTACCCCCATGAGCATGTTAATGGTTTTTATTTTGAACTCCCTTTCAGGAAGATTCATGAGGTTGATTTCATTTTAATCTTTCTCATGTGTTTTCTTAATTTTACTTTGAACCAGATTTCTTTGGCATTTAATATTTGTAAATGGCCCCCTCTTGTGCCCAGAAGCTCTACTTTCTGGAGCTGCTCAGCCCCTGAAGCAAAGTTGGGGGTCATAGGGGAGCGGTATTGGTGCCTTGGGGGAGGAAAGAGCTGTTTCCTGGTTTCTGGCTGCTATGCCTGCCTCCACTGCCTGTACCAGTGGGCCGAGCTCACAGGTATAAGCCTCTGTGCTTTGCTTTTGTAGTTTCTATAGACAGGGCTTTCCTCTGGCTGGCCTAACGCCAGGTAGGGTTTCCCGGTTTGCGAGCCAGATGGGGCTGGCCGGGAGAAAAGTGCAGTAGCCTACGTATCACGGAGGGAGTCCTTGGAGCTGTGTAGCCAGCCGGGGAGCCGCAGCACCTGGAAATCATGAAAGCTCCCAACCTGCTGGGTAGAGTGTACGTGGACAATTTTGTCTACTTGTTCTTTCTCCTGAGCAGTAAGCTCTGTGCAATCCTTGCCCCTTTAGCAGCCCTCTTCCTAGGGGCTTTCTTGTTAGGAAGTCTCTTAGACTGTCCGCCTTTTTTTTGTCCTAGAGCAGCTGGATATGGATCCCTGTTTCCACAAGTGGCTGGAATCGCAGTTTCTCCAAGTATTCTGCCTGTCTTAGCTTTCCAATCCCCTAATCATGAGAGTACCATGAAAGTACCATGAAATGTAGGTTTGTGCTCTCAGAGGAGATCTCTGGAGTTAGGTGTTCAGCATTCCCAGGCCTCCACTCCCTCCCCTGCTCCATTTCTCTTCCTCCCGCCAGTGAGCCGGGGTGGGGGAAGGGCTGGGGTCCCGCTGGGTCACGGTTTTGGTACGTTACCCTGTTCTGTGAGGTTTATTCTTTTCTCCAGGTGTATGCTCTTTGGCGCCACCCTCTTTCCTGTTGCTCTTTCAGGATTAATCATATTAATTATATTTTCATATTTTTGCAGTTTTAGGAGGAACCCTCTGTCTCACCTTTCACACCTTCATCTTTAATCCTCTCCCCATCTGTTAACATTTTTATCTGAGTATTATTATCTATGTTTTGAGAGTATGGAATTGGCAACTCCATAACATTCTGAGTTATTCAACCTTTATTGTAAATTCCTTACAAACTTAATATTGTGTTTGCTATAACAAAGTAATACTATTTGTTTCTTCATGGTATAAAATCATTGGATGACAGATGGGTAACTGTCACAAGGAGATTCCTGTGTTGGTCCTCATGATAACATGCAGATTCTAAGAAGCATCAGAAACCTTGAATATACCAATACAGGTATATTGCTTAGTTCTGATTAATGAGAAGAACAAACACTGAAAACCATGCTTTGGGAGCAAGTTGTTTAGGATTAGGCCTGGAAACAATGGACTGGCTCTTTCTGTGTTTTTTCTTGATATGTGATCCTGTATGTTTTTATTTTTGTGGCCAGGTTTAAGAGCAGGACTAGCTGCCTCAATTGCTGGGAGTTCTATTATCAACAAAATGTTACTAGCAAATATCGATCCTTTTGGTGCAACACCATTTATTGACCCAGATCCAGATTCAATGTAAGGAAATACTTTTGTAAATATTTTGTTTAGCCTTCTCTTTTTACAGTTTTATACTAATGGTAACATTTTAACATATTACAGTAAATATGGTTCCACATGCAAAAAGGATCATTATCAACTTTCAGAAGTTGATGATAAGTATGTTGACCCATTTGCCACACTGTGCTTTTCATGATCATTTCCAGGCTGTTGTCTCTGATGACAGACCTGCAACAAGCAGTGGTTCAGCGCCGCTCACTTGTCCCTAGATGCCATCTTCATCGGTGCCTCATGTCCGTATTTGTGCTCCTCCATTCACCTCCCTTCTCCGTGGCCAATTCTGCCATCTTTCCCCATTCAGCTTCTAGGTTTTCTTATTTCAGGGGAAGCTTCTGGTCCATATTGATCTCTCCCCTTCCTAAAACTCCTAATAAAATTGTCAACAGTTTACCATGTACTTCCTTTTACTTCCATGTTGAAATGTGCTTTTGTTAGAGCTCATTTCTCTAATGACAGTTCTCAATGGCAGTACCGTGTTTTAAACATCTTTGTAGTTTCCAAAACACCTGAACGAATGGGCTTGACGTAATTGTTTTCTGCTCCATAAATATTTGTCTACTAATAGGAGTACCAGTGGAAGAGAATTTCTGATGACCAAAAAAAGGGAGAATGGCACCTGACGTCAAGGCCTTCCCATCTGTATTTGTAGCAAAGGGCCTGTGATGAGATAGAAGAACCACGATTTTGTTACAGTTAATAAATAGCAAAGCATTACTGTGACTCTGTCTCCACTTTGCCTTGCTCATCATCCCTTTGTATCACAAGTACCAAAAATTACACACAAGTATTGGGTTGGTGCACATGGCAAATTATTCCTGCCAAGCTTTATTCTACAAGAAATGGAAGCTTAAATGGTTTTAAGTGCTGTTTTGTGTGCAAATTGTAATTGTTGTGATGAACATGTAATTGACTTGTATGTACTTTTCCTTATTATCATAGAGATGGATATTCTGAAAAATGTGTCATGAACAATTACTTTGGGATCGGATTAGATGCAAAAATTTCATTAGAATTTAATAATAAGAGAGAGGAGCACCCTGAAAAATGCAGGTAATTCTGGTAATAGTAATAATGTCATTACATGAAGGCAATTTTAATTTCATTTATCTCTTTTGCTTGCTCTGCCTTTAAAGAGCAATTTAATAATAGCTGCTGGAATTGTCTTCCAATATTTATTTTCAGGAGCCGAACTAAAAACTTGATGTGGTATGGAGTCCTTGGGACCCGGGAGTTATTGCAGAGATCATACAAGAATTTAGAACAGAGAGTTCTACTTGAGGTAAGTTCATCTTGAAGTAAAGACATTTCAGATTATCAGATCATCTTAAAAAATAATCATCTTGCTTAAAAAAAATTTTTAAGTAATAATTAAATACTAAGGAAAATATGGAAGTGGTTATCACCTTATCCTAAAGGAGATATAGACACTGGCTATGGGGACAGACTTTTATCATTATAATTAGCTCCTGAAATTCGGGTGCTACCATAGAGTCCTGGGAGTCCATTTAAAGGCTAGCATTTCTAAAGGATTTTCTCATTTAAATTTCCAAATTCAATTCAGTTCTCTAATGCCTGAAGTTTTTTGCAAGTACCTGAAAAATAACTGCCATAATTAATAGAATCTTTTAATTTAAATGTATTTTTTTCCAGTTATTTTTTAAAAATTAGTCCAACAAAAAGAGATTTTGAACATTTACAATTTTTAGTATTTTTTACTAATTTAAATAGGAAATTAAGGATAGCAAAAGTTATTTAATCTCCTCTGATAACAGGCTGGGACATGGCTCTGAAAACTCTACTAATTTCTGTGAATTTTATTTTCTTCACCCCTGATTTAGGCTTACTCTTTATGCTGAAAAGTATATCTTCCCTATCTTGTATTTTTATATAACCAGATATTTTAGATTAAGGCATAGCCTACATACAGGAAAGTGTACAGATCTTAAGTCTTCAGCTCAATGTATTAAACAAAATATGGACTGAAATGTGGACTAAAGAGGTGCCTGACTCATCCATAATCAACTTAATGTCTTCTTAGTAAGAGAAGTCTTTTATAGGTACCTTCCATTCTAGAGCACAACTACATGACCAACTAGTTTGATTTATCATTGCTTGTAAAATCAGGAGAGATGCTGTCCTCTCCCTTTATCTAAATGAAAGCCTCTGCCTTGCTCTCCTAAAAAAATATCAAGAGAGATGTGACTGGCTGAAGCAGTACAAATTCAGGAAGGTTCACGCTGAGTAAGCACTCGCCTTGGCGGCCTCGTCGGCTGGTCAACTTGAGTTCTGCTCCACGTTGTTTTCTTATCCATGTCCCTAAGTCAGCCGCACTGTTGTTAAGGACAGGTAGAAAGTTGAATTTATCATTTTTATCCCCAGTGTCTTGCACGGTTCTTGGCCCTGTCTTAAGGGGGAAACAAACAAGATCATTTTGCATAATTTGATAAGCACTCTTATCAAGCTCCAGAGCCAGCCTTCTCTGAGAGTTAGGGAACTATTTAGATCAGTGTCTTGCCTGAGGGTTTCAGCCCCAGGGCAGGTTCACTATGGATTTGGTGAGACCAAGAAATGACAAGGGTATGTTCTTGGGGTAAAAAAGTTTATACCTGGCTTTATTCTCTCAGCAGTAGGTCTATAATCCACCTCCTCTCTGCCTGGGCAGAGCTCTTTATATAGTGACTCAGTCAATAATAGCTCATTGCATATGGGTGTGGAAGCATTAGTGTAGCAGTAGGCCAGTTACATCATCAAGTAGTTTAGGGTCAGGTGAGGATCCTGGCCATTGGAACTTCCATTTTCCACACAAGCATTCAAGTTAACAGATCTCTGAATCTATCTATTGGACCCCTGGTTTCTGAACCTCATGGGTAAGAACCTTTAATTTAGAGGTTTATGTTAAGTGGTAAAGAGGAAAATAAATTAGTAAAACAAAATCAATGAAGACATGTTAATATACACAAAAAGATAAGAAAAAATAGAGAATTCTTTGTCATAGTTAAAAATAAACCAAACACCTGGTACTCCTGAGGACTGTGGAGACCCATTGTCTAAAAATTCATTCCCTGATGCTGATTAGGATCACCTGGGACAAAGATGGAGCAAAGAGATGCTAAGCTAATGAAACTTATTGCTGTGCTTAGGATTTCCAATACTATGTTGAATAAAAGTGGTGAGAATATATATCCTGGTCTTGTTCCTGATCTTTGAGGAAAAGCTTTGAGCTTTTCACTATTGAGTATGATGTTAGCTTGTCATATGTATGGGCTTGTTATAATATAGGGGGCCTTTATTATTAAATCCTTAAGACTTCTCTGGATTTTTTAAAGTTCATCTTTATTTACAGAGGCAATATTTTTTCCAATTCTTTTAAGTTAGTTATTGTCTTGCCAATGGGTTTCAGCCCTGGGCAGGTTCACTATGGATTCAGTGTGACCAAAGAAATGACAGTAGAAGGTTCCTGGGGTGAAAGGGTTATATCCAACTTTATTCCCATGGTGACAGGTCAGTCGCTAGAATCCCGTGCACTCAGCAAGTCTGCATGCACCAAGCTGGTCTCTGCCTCTCTACCCATGCAGCCATCTCAATCTCCGTCCTCGGTGCTGCCCCTACTCCAGTCTGGTCTCTGCTCTCCTGTAGTCTTGCAGCCATACCAGCGTGTTTCCCAGAGCACTGAGTGGAGCTCTTTATATAGAGTCCATAACAATGTATTGCCCACATGTGTGTAGTGAGCTAGCCATCCAAGGCCAGGTGAGAATCCTGGTGACAGGAACCTTCACTTTATCCACAGTTACATAATTTAAGCAGCTTTTTCTAAAGCACACAAAGATACCTGTTCAATTTATTGGGTTCAGAAAAAGTTTATTATTCGACTAAATACTTAATGTTCATTCATTTGACAAATACACATTGAGCACCAGCTATGTGCCAGGAATGGCCATAAGTGCTGTGATACAGTTGTGGAACTTTGAATCCATTTTCATGCACAAGAAAAGAAATTGGAAAAGAAAAAAAAGCCTGTGTGTGTATATCAAATATGAAATATTATCAGTTATTTAAAATGGTTGAAAAGTGGGTTCAAACTGAATTCTCATTTGTTCTAAAGATTGAAGATCATTTTTATTGGACATTAAAATACAATATATATAAAGTTATGTTAATTATTTTTCAATGAAAATATAGCATCTACTTTAAGTATGACATTTGCAAGCTCTTCTCTTTTGACGGTTTAAATCTTCTACTCAGGAGGAATTTACTCACATGCTATGCGTAATGACTTCACCATCCATAAGATATTTTTTCCTTATTTAAGTGATAATTTAAATTTCATTAAGTGATTAACTCAAGGGCATGGAGTATAAGTTACTTCCCAACATACATGTTTTTTCCTTAGTTCTGACTACTTGAAGAATTCAGCTTTGAGGTTAGCCAGTCACCAGTTAGTTACAGAGCACCAGCAAAGTGGCAGGAGTTGTGAGAGGTAGAGGTGCAAGGTGACATGGCTAGGGCTCAGAGTCCGCCCTTGCAGAATCTGCCTTCTCTGAAAGGCTGCTTAGAATACATACAAAGATGACCAAAATACAGGTGAGTATATAAGGGACCTGAAAAAAACTCAAGATTAAGTATTGACTGATTTTGATAGAAAGAAGTAAACATTTTCAATTTGGTTTTCTATAACAACTTCTGCTGTAGTTACTTGTGTGATGAAATTTTTTTAATTAAAAAAATAAGATAAAGGTAATGTATAGAAATATATTTATAGGATTGCAAACATTACCAACCCACTTTCCTTCTTGGCCCTTTGTCTGATATTCTCCTGACTTCCAAGCTAGATTTTGTTTGTTTTATATAACCTCTAAACCTTTGCCTTACAGTGTGATGGGCAGTACATTCCTCTGCCCAGTCTGCAGGGAATAGCAGTGTTGAACATTCCCAGCTATGCCGGAGGCACTAACTTTTGGGGTGGCACTAAGGAGGATGACGTAAGTATTCCCTTGCCCTGTCCAGATTCTAGAGGCTACCCACGTTCTTTGACTTGAGGCCCCTTCCTTCATCTTCTAAGACAACAAAGGCAGGTTGAATCCTTGTCATGTTGCATCATTCTGATCTCTTCTTCCTCCCTCTTCCACTTTTAATGACTTTTGTGATTACATTGGGCTCACTCATCCCAGATTATCATCCTGAATAATCTCCCCATCCTAATTTTATCACATCTGCAAAGTCTGCTTTGCCATGTAAGGTATCATTTATGGGTTCCAGGAATTAGGACATGGATATTGTTGGGGTGGGGAGAGGGGTGTTAGTCTACCTACCAAAATACCTTCCTGTACTTTAAATTTCCTAAACTAATGTGTACATTATTACTATTTTTATTTTTTTAAATGTCAAGTGGGTTCATTTGGTCTTGAGGTTTAGGGCTATTTTTGTTTTCTTTTAATACTTTCCTATGTCAAAAAAAAAAAATGACCTAATACATGTAATTGTTCTAAAAGTAATGAAAGAGAGGGCACAATTATTGAAGTATAAATAACAATAAATATGAGGAGTTATTACAATCTCTGAAGAGTCACACATTGAATGATAGGCTCTTTTATTTGAGAAATGATATAATGGTTCATATTGACCCATTTCCTCAGGACTCTTAAATGAGTAGGCAGGGATTAAAGTAGAAAATAAATTGGAAAGTATTTGTAATTTTCATGATATGAATATATTCCAATCCTATTGGAGTATAAAAACTTACAGTAACAATCGGTTTTTGGTCAGCCTGTCACTACTCTTAAGTACTTGAAAGGGAAGAAATCTGTGAGATTAAATAAATAAATTTAACATTCCTTAAATACTTACTATGTAGTCAGTATTCTGAGAACTTCGCATTCATTATTTAACACCCACAATTTTTATCTAAAGTTTATCTATGAAGAAACTGATATGATGTTCACACAAAGTTAGGAAATAGCAGAGATAAGTTTTAAAACCAGGCAGTCGATAACAAAAATGATTTAAAAAAATCACCGATGTATGCAAATTCATGTCCTGATAGTTCAGCAAAAGTTTTAATTAGGATGCTACTTTATACTGAGTAATTTTTTCAGAGCCATGATTGTTTATTATACAGTAAAAGAAAGAATAAAAGGGACAAAGTAATACAGCCTCAATTTAAATTTTATATAAAATTAATTTTGTGAAAATGCATTTAACATCAAAGCAAAGTAAGCCTACATGATTTTTATCCTGAGGTTTCTGTTTTCTTATTTTCAAATATCCTAAAAAGTTGTGTTAAGATATAAAGCACATTATACATATCACAGATCACACGTTGGAAGATTTCCCTTAGAACATACCAAGTGGACTAGATCATAATTTTCATGTTCATTAGCTTAAGCCTTAAGAAATCTATTCGATATCACCTTTTTGTTTTTTTAGATGATGTGCATCATTTTATCAAGACATCTGAGTTATATGTGAACAGACATTTACTACATTTTATACCAAGACAAATTATTTAGAAATATAATGGCTCACTGGTCCAAAGAGTGCTTTATAGAAGGGCATGAGTATTATATCCATGTGGGTGTTGAAATCTTTTTTATAAAGTTTGTTTATTTTAAGTCATCTCCAGGTATTTTTTTTTTGTCTTTGGATTGCCATTTCCTAATAATATTTATTAACTTTTCAGCTTAATATTTGTGTAAGTCTTTTAATATGTATATTGAGAATTTAAATTAGTTGATGACCTGAACTTTATCAGTGAAAGTGTAATATAATTCTCCCTTTCAGATATTCGCTGCACCATCATTCGATGACAAAATCCTGGAAGTCGTCGCAGTATTTGACAGCGTGCAAATGGCAGTTTCCAGAGTCATTAAACTGCAGCATCATCGAATAGCACAGGTTTGTCTGTCCAATGGATCCTGACTTCACTATGTGAGCCCCTGGGGAAGCTGTTCCCAATGACTGCTGCACTGTATATTCATCTGTAAAATATTGGCTTTTTTGTCATATCAGTTGTCATTATAGCATCACTGAAAAGCGGAACATTCCAACCCACAGAATGGACTGAAAGTCAAGCTTGAATGCAGATAGAGTGTCAGCTACTCAGGATGATCTGTATTCTAAAATAACTTGTTTTATTTCAGTGTCGTACAGTGAAAATCACTATATTTGGTGATGAGGGAGTCCCGGTGCAGGTGGATGGTGAAGCATGGGTACAGCCTCCAGGGATTATCAAAATCGTGCACAAAAACAGGGCTCAGATGCTAACAAGGGACAGGGTATGTAGCAAAAAACATTCTTCTAGACTTTTACAAGACTCTTTAAAAACCATTCATTGACATGAAAAACAAAAACCAAGGAAAACTATTTGAATTATGTCCTAAAACTAGCATTTAGGTAATTGTGGTTTTTAAGTATGAAAAAATATTTAACTTTTAAGAAAATTTATAGACTTCATTTATTTATTTTTTGGCTTGCAGAAAATACAGAGAATTCTAATTATATTCCGATTTGCTTTCTGACCTTGCTAACAAACACGTAAATTCTCCTATTATTAACACCTTGCATTAGTGGGGTACATTTATTACAGTTGATGAGGCAGTATTTATACATTACTGTTAGCTGAAGTCTGTAGTTTACATTACTCTTTGTGTTGTGCATTCAGTAGGTTTTGACAAATGTATAATCACTTCTACCTATTACTGTATCATACAGATTACTTTCACTGCCCTAAAAATTCCTTGTGCTCCAGCTGTCCACCCCTCCCTCCCTTACCCCAACCCACGGCAACCACCGATCTCTTTACTATCTGCAGAATTTTGCCTTTTCCAGAGTATGTATTTTTAAGGTCACACCCATAACAAATAAGACTACCAAGATCTATCCTATCTATTGTCCATATAACAGTAAAGATCAAAGCATAAATTGAAGCTCTTTTTTAACATTTGAGCCATATATTGTCAGTGTATGTTCCTTTTTATTTGTTGCAATACACTGGAAAACTTGAAAAAACATTTTTTGTAACTTACGATTTCTTTAATGAGGTATTAGGAAAATAGTAATAGTTTCAAAGTCATTCATATTGTATATAAATACACACTTATTTGTTCCTCAGAGCTCTAAACTAACAATTCATTGCAATGTTGGTTTTAAATAGGCTTTTGAAAGCACTCTAAAGTCTTGGGAAGATAAACAGAAGTGTGATTCTGGTAAACCAGTTCTTCGAACCCATCTGTACATCCAACATGCCGTTGACTTGGCAACAGAAGAGGTGTCCCAGATGCAGCTCTGTTCCCAGGCTGCGGAGGAGCTCATTACCAGGTGTGGTGGGCCTGCTGGCTTTCGGGCTCTGAGAACTCTGGTCTTGGCAGATTTTGGTAATTTCTTTTAAAACATCATCTCAGTTGTTTGGGGTATCTAAAAGAGATGCTTTGACTCTCTGTCTTACTTGCCGCCTCAGTAATTGCCACTCTCCAGCACACGCGCGCGCGCACACACACACACACACACACACACACACACACCTAAAAGAGATGCTTTGACCCTCTGTCTTACTTGCCGCCTCATTGGTGCCTCAGTAATTGCCACTCTCCAGATTCTCTCCAGCGCGCGTGCGCGCACACACACCACCACCACCACCATAAAAAAATAAGTTCTGTGACTATAAGACAGATAAAAATCACCATAACCAGGAATCAGAGAGGAAGGGCCATGGGTAAGTTTATTATCTCTTCTTTACCTAAAGCTTATCTACCAAATGAGGACAATAAGAGCTACTTTCCCAGATCCACCGTGTGAAGTGCTTATTAGCACATCATGTCTGGAATATTTAGTGTCCCATGAATGGTAGCTACTGTATTCTTCCCACAACTTCCTCTGATCACTGATAAAAATGTTGAAAAAGAAAAGAAGGGAAACAAAGCTCAGAGGTACCAGGGGCTAATTTGCTCCCTTTCCACTGCCTCCTCCTCATCGCATGTGCTCCTCTCAGTTCTTATTTGCCTGTTTAAATATTTGTTAAATGCTTAGAATGTACTGGATGTTAGATATAGAATAGGAAAGATACTCATTCCCTCCTGCTGGAGACCAATGTTCAAAATTAGAATCAGGTATGAAAACTGCAAGACACTGAGTGGCTTAGAAGAAAGAAAAGGGAAAATGAATATTTAGTCAGCTAAATCCACGTCACTGCATTACTGTTCATCTCATTTATTATCCACATAGATAATAGTTTTAGGGTAAATTCATCTCTTTCAGATACTACAAACAACTTCTATGACTCCAATTTACAGTGTTCTGTATTTTTGTCTTTGTTCTGCATTTTTTCCCCAGTTTTATTGGAGAATGATTGATAAATAAAGGTGTATATGTGATGATTTGATATATGTATGCATTGTAAAATGATTACCACTCTCAAGCTAATTAATATGTTATAGAAACCAGTATGGAGGTTCCTCAAATTAAAAATAGAACTACAGCGTTTTCTTGAAACCAAAATATACTTCCCATATTATTATCAGGTCAACCATGCCAATGATCTTATCCAAAAAAAGAAAGTGAAGACTGGCCAGACTTCCTTTTGGTCAACCTAGTTTGGTTCCCCATATGTATTTTTAAATTTTGCAAGAGGTGAAAATCAGCTCACTCTTTTTTATTTCCAGAATTTATTCATTCAGCATTCAACACCAGGTTGGCTTCTTGTGTGTGCCAACCATCATATTCAACACCAGGGATGCCATAATCACTGCATTGTGGTCCCTCTTCCTAATTTACTGACAGAGAAGTAGGAGGGAGAGGTGTGGCCAAAGCATTGTCAAAGCCCACTACGGGGCTCAGTAGGCGCTATGGACCTGCAAAGGAGGCCAGAAGGTAGTGAGGGAGGGCTGCCTGGAGGAGGTGATCTAACCAAGTCTTAAGAGAAGCAGCATTCTGAGTATGGGAACCAACCTGGGCAGAGGCCCAGAGGAGTGTGGGTGCTTGGTACTTTCAGGGACTCTCAGGGAGTTTGGGGTGACTGAAATTTTGACACATATATGTAAGAGTATGGGAAATACGGATGGAGAGTCGAGGAGGGGCCAGATCTTTATCAGGATGTTTCTGGAAGCAATGTGGAGCATTGTCTACAGGACAGCAAAGCAAGGACAGTGTGAACGCTGTTGGAATGGTGCCGATAGAAGACAGTGGATTGAGGCAATAGAAAAGAGTGATTTAAAATAGGTAAGAGTATAAACTGGGCTTGAATCAGGAGACAGAATGACTGTAAAGTTTCTAGTGAATGGCTGGATGGATTGCAGTGACTTTGATGGAATCATAGGATTCAGGAAGAGGAGTAGATCTGAATGCTGAAAGTACAGAATTTAAATTACATTAGAAGTACTTAGGAGGAGATTCGGTAGGCAGTTGGAAATGTTGATCTGAAATTGATTTACCACTTAACCCTTTTTTTAAAAAAATTAGGATTACATTTACCCATCTCTTTCTTCTGATAAACAACTATTCTTTATTTCTGAAGGTTATTATTAAGAATGCTGAGATGACATTTGCAGGTTCTTTTGTGGCTTAGATCTCAGTTGTATGCTCCTTAAGAATTAAACTCTTTCTGCTCTCGACTTTCAGGGTTTCTGTCTCTTCTGTTCTACCCTTTTCAGTTTGAAGATCATTCTCCTTGAAGATGTGAGAAACAAAAAGGGTTTGAATAGTTTTGCCTTCTTGCTTATCTGCAAACCTGCTATCATTTTCTAGCAGTTGGTAAAACTTTTCCTCTCTTTCTTTCTTTGGCTTTGGTGCCCTCCAAGATTCTGTCTTTCCAGGACTATTCTTGAAGGTTTATATTTCAGACAGCTATACCACAATAGGCTTTGGAGTTGGATAGGCATAGATTCAAATCCTGGTATCAGCACTTACTAGCTTTGTATACATCTAAAGCTCTCTGAGCCTCACTATCTTCTGCCAAGTGGAAAAAATTAATCACAGTTACGCTTTAAGTTGTGAATATTAAATTAGATAAATGGTAAATTAAAATTTAATTACATAAAGCAGTTAGTATATAGATGGTGAATATGGCAGTGTCATTCCTCTAATCTGTTTTATTTGTTCCTGGCTGAAGTGTCAGTAAATAAAAGACAAGTTTCTACTCCCTACATTTAGGACCCCATTTATTCCAAAGACAACTACAAAATGAAGTGTTAACATATTTTATTCTTCCAAATAATGCCTCCATATGTTTATCTCTATATATTTATCTCTGATTCTAAGCCTAACTTTGTATGTAAAGGCTTTTGATTTAGTATTCTTTGCTGCAGTGGGGTTGAATTTTGTAAATCTACCCTGTGCCATTCATAACTGAGCAGTCATTTAAGAAAATTTTTCCTTTAATGACCTTTTTTTTTTCTTTTACTTTAATTCGACTACTTCTACACTTGAGAAAAATCAGCAATACTCAAAAGTTTTCTGCTCATTTGTTTCATTTTTGCTTTCAGGATTTGTGACGCAGCCACAATCCACTGTCTTTTGGAACAAGAGCTGGCCCACGCTGTGAATGCGTGCTCCCACGCACTGAATAAAGCCAACCCTCAGTTCCCAGAGGTGAGGACTTAATGGTAAATTCTCTTTCCACAGATTTTTTTGGTATTATGAATATATTTTGATACTATAAAATGTGTCATATCCCTGAAAGAAAATTATACAGTTTCTGGCTCTCTGCCAGAAGCCTCTGATAAATTTGTAGCCAAATTTTTCTTTGTTTTCATTTTCATGCCATTTTTCCATTCCTGCTCTTAAATTCTCTTCATTTTTTTCTATCACTTGTTCCCTGTCATTTTCCTTCTATTCCTTCTCCTTTTAACTACTACCATGCCTCCTTCCTTCTTATATCTTCTCCCCTGTGCTTGATAGAAGGCAAACGTAAAAAGCATGCATTTTATTAGAGCTCTTCATTCATTTGTGAAGTTGTGCACTGAAATTATTCTTGCTTCATTTTGTTGTACTAAGTTGGTAAATTTAGTAAATTTTTTAATGTGGAAGTTAAAATTTTGTAACTTCAGTACATTTTTTAATGTAAAAGTTAATAATAGAATCTGAATGTAACTCTTGAATGTGATTCATGGTACAAGGTTAAAGTATAGAGAGAACTGATAGCATTATTTTACTCTTAATTATTCAAAGTTATCTAAATTAATATACAAATAAGTGCTAGTCCTCAAGATTAAAGTCTAAAAAAACAACCTGGTTGGAAGTACTGAGAGTGAAAGTCAGTGAATAGACCTAATTATAATCAGGTAATGCCCCTTTTAAGACATCATATTCTTTGATGTAACTTTTTTATTGGAATATATTGCCATATAAATATTTGTATGTAGATGTGGCTCTGAGTATCTTCACTACAGTCAGTACATTTTTTTTGGTTCTGTGATACAAAAAAAATCTAAGAGGTAATCATGCTAACAAACATGAGTGTGAAATTATGCAATTATTATAGAATTTTGGTAGATTTTAAAAAATAGTTGTGATGTGATTCAAATTGGAAGAATAAACTTTAAAGTGTTTGCCAATGATTGAGTCCCTATTTAACAGAGATCTACTTGTCTTCGATGGTTTCTTTTTTCCCTAGAGTCTTACAAGAGACACTGCCACTGAAATAGCCATGAATGTGAAGGCGCTGTACAATGAAACAGAATCTTTACTAGTTGGCAGGGTTCCTCTGGTAAGCAAGGAGTGATTGATAACATAAGAACGATGATAATGTGTGGGCCTCACCTTCACTAGGGAGGATGCATTCATTAGATCCTAATACAGAAGCAGCCTCTGGTGTTCGGCCTTAAAAATGAGCTTCCTTTTACCTAGCTTTTGCCTTGGAGAAAATACATGGCTAAACCTGGGAGGTGTGACTCAGACTAACAGAACTAGAGCTTTCCCCTCACACATGCCATCATGTTTTTTTGTAATCCTGCTCTCCCTAGTCAGCTTTGAGCTTTATAAAGTGTAGTAGGCATTCCACAGGTACTCATTAACTCATTATTGCAGAAAAGTAGGGAAAATCTCAGGTTTTGTTCCTGGATTTAACATCTGAAATATGATTGGCATGGTTTTCTAGATTTGCTTAGAAGACAACACTTTCTAGACTCTATATCAAGAACTAACTAGTCATATCCCCAGATTAACTCAAATTGGTGCTAGGAATCAAGTTGAGGTCACGTCTTTACTGACAACAGTCCATAGACCAAGCATAAGCGCTGGAGGTCCACGGATATCCTCTTTGGCTTGGCCAGTCTTTGTCTCGTCAGCCTTAACTCCCTCACCATTTTCGAATGTTCTGTCTGTCCTAGTGGGTCTTTTCGCCACCTAGCGTTCAATTTTGGTTATTCACATAGGCTGTTGAAACTGTAGAAAGCAGAATGCATTAGATATATTTTTCTTCCTTGTAACAGTTCTGATTACCTGATAGGTGATGATCTTAAAACATTTCTCCTGACTGTAATTTTATCTCTTGCTTTGGAAAATATACACCTAAATAAAAGTGACAGTAAAAGTCATAGTATCTGGCATAGTGGGAAAATGGAAGGTGTGTCAAACAGCCTAGCTAACTAGTAAGTGACTATGGTTGGAATTTCTCCTTGATTGGGGTCCAGAAGAGTACCACCTTTGAGCATCCTTTACTCTGAGAAGAGAAGCCTAAGGGCTGCACAAAACCCATTGCTCTCACCCACCTCTAGAAGAATCTGAGATACAACTTCCTTGGGGCAAGAAGTGGCCGCCTCTGCAGTGGCCGTGAAGAAAACCTTTGGAAAGAAACATGGGTTATCTCCCTTGATAAAACCTGGGAACATCTTCTTTGCTCTTCTTGGCATTTGTGTTATTAACCAGAATCTTCTTGCTGTTTTTCCAAAATTATTTCTATAAGAAGTCTAGTGGATTATGACTTTGTTCCCAATTTTTAGATAAAGGTCATATATTTTTTTGTGTTAATTTGAAATACATTTAATGGAATTTCTGGTTGACCAGAACTAGAAGCATAACTTACTCTGCATTTTAGCTCTCTGCACTAAAAGTATCCTTTGAATGTTACTTACTTAATATTTATCAATTGTATTAGATTAGTATAAAAGGACCCTCCTCCATTTTTAATTCATCTGTCATTGTGAAATATGGATGTTTGGTTTAAAATGAATACCAGTACATTCTTTCAAAACCTTTAAATATATAACAGGGTGAAGAATCTCCATGTTTTTATTAACTACTAGCAGTGGTAGATACCTTGAATACTGAGTGGTGGATAGGGAGAAAAATGCCTATAATAAAGAGTAGTAACATTCTCTGTACTTTCATTTAAAATTCCGAGTAAGTACTCTACAATTTTAAAGTAATTTACAAAAGTACTGTTTAGCTGGAAAAGACCTTAGAAATAACCTACTCACATTCCACTGTTTATTAAGGAAGAAACTAAGTCTCCCAAAATCAATTACCCCTCCCTTGGTTGCATAATTATTAACAAGGTCAGAAATGGAATTCAGTCACCTCTCTCCCAGTTCTGCACATAAGTGTTAATTTCACGTTTACTCATTTATTGAATTTTAAGTACTTTTCAATAACTGCTTCAAATAGGTGGATAATAGGTGACTAGTTAAATTATCTTTAAAGTTTCCAAGCCCTCTTCCACATTACAAGTCACTTACTTTTTGCTTTTCCTATGTGTTTAAAACAGCTTTCATTAATTTTTCTGAGATTCATAGTTTTTTTCCCTTAAAGTTATTATTTTAATATAATTCTCCAGATTTTTGTGCCAAGCAAATTCTTATTATATGACATATTATGACCAATTTTTAAAATATTATTGTTCACAGAGTGACTTTTGTAAATCAGAAGGATTTTTGCCACAAATAAGTAGAACAATGAGATTGCCCACTAGTGCAAGCAGGCAGAATGGGTGGATGGATGCATGGATAACGAGAGAGAGAAGGAAAGAGAGGTGAAAGGATTTACATAGAGAAAACACCAAAAGCTGTACTTTTTGCCGTGAAATTATTGAAGTCACTCCAGCTTTTTATATCATCTTTGGGAAATAAGGATAAATCTATCCAGATTTTTTTAAAATGAACTCAATATAAAATAATTTGTTCTTTTTTTTTATATGCCTTTATCTTAAGAACAATAGCCCAGCCTAGCCTAGTAAGAGATGAGGATGTTCACTTTCAAAATAATTTATTCTGTGTGAGATTGGTCACTGAGCCTTGTTTTGTTCTTTTCAATCTGCTGGTAAGTAGCATCTGGAATCTCCACATGAAGAGCGGGTGTCCAATGCCTTACACTCTGTGGAGGTGGAGTTACAGAAATTAACAGCAATTCCCTGGCTTTATTATATCTTACACCCAAATGAGGATGAGGTATGTAAAATCCAGCCTGTCTCTTTATAAATGTAGACTTTATGATTGACTGAATTTGAACTTATTTTTTTTAAATGAGATATTCAGGGGAAAATAAATTTTGTATACTGCTTTCTCAAATGAACTGTTCTTGAACAAGCAAGAAAAGGCTTTTATGTGAACAAAGATATCTTTTGGAAGTCAGCACATTTTCAGTATACATAATATCATGATATTTTTTTTGAAGAAGTTACCACTTAAGCGATGCTTTGTGTTTATTGATGGGTTCCTTATGTTCTTATCTCTAATATCAGAGTGAGTTTTTAATATCAGAGTGAGTGTCTCTTAATAGCAGAGAAAATTCTTTTCTTGCTTCCATTTGAACAGGAGCCTCCTATGGATTGCACCAAAAGAAACAGCAGAAGCACAGTATTTCGCATAGTGCCAAAATTTAAAAAAGAGAAGGTTCAGAAGCAAAAGACAAGTTCACAGCCTGGTAGGTAATTCACACTGGGAAAAGTATAACACCTGAGAAACTAAACATTTCATCAAGCTGATGAAAATGTTCTGGAACTGGGTAGTGGTGATGGTTGTACAACATTATGAATGAACTAAATGCCACTGAATTGTACACTCTAAAATGGTTAAAATGGTAACTTATTTTATGTTCATTTTACCTTTGAGCATAAATAGGTTCATTGAACATAATTAGGTAAAAAAGTCATGTATACCTGAATAAGTCCAAATATTAGTAGGCATCTCTACTTATAAAGCACACAAGAAAACAAGGTGGCTGCTTTTTGCCTCTGTTTTGTTTATGTTACAATGTCTGCTGAGATGGCTCTTGTTCAACAACAATAAGATCTTGTTCAACAGAAGTTCAATGTATTAGTGTGTACCATATTTTTCTTCTTCAAAGATCCATCTATAATTCAGATAAATGGAATGTAGAAACTTTCATTTACTCCTTTAACTTGCTAAGTTTTCCACTTTAAGTTATATATTCTGTTTCTCCTGTTTTAAGGACCAACTGCACCATCTCAGCCCCTCAGTAATGACAGTCAACTGTGACCTTTGCATACTGAAGCAAAGGTTAAACTCTCCCTTTGATGTTGTCTTTTTTGTTCCCTTTCCATCTTTCGAGGTTGAATTTAGTACTGTACTAGGGCCAAAGCACCTCAGGTTCTGTGTATAGGATGGTAGGTGCCTATCAGAATCAAGTCATTTTATAATTCTGAGTTAACTACCTCTTTTAAGAAGTGATACATGACCTTATATTTTTGACAATTATAGAACAGCTACTGAAGGGCATTTTAAAACCAAATATGGCAAGTAAGTAGACTTTTATGAAGTAATCAATGTTGAATAAAATGTATAAAAGAGTGATAACACATGCTGAAAAATAACAATGCAACTAATCATAGAAAGCAGTGTTGACAGTTTCTAAATGACATTAAATTGAGTTAATATATATTTATTGCTATAATTATAAATAATTCTAATTATCAATAATAATAGAATCAATAAAGACAACACTTGGAGTCAGCAAGACCTGAAGCAGAAGCTTGTATAAAATTGAATAAGCTGTATCAGATCTAAAATGTTAATTTGCATTTTTAGCTAATTAAACTATAACTAGTTTCATATATGGTCTTGAGGAAATCCTCAGAGCTTATATACACCTGTTAATACTGATCCTAATCATGAGAAGTACATGTTTTATACATATTGTGTAGTTTGGGTGGCTTGAAGAGGAAAGTGAGCTAAAGCTTAGGCACAGTACACAGCAGCGAATGTCTTTGGATAGCCAGATCCTTGTGTTCATTGATAGTCCATAACCTGCATGGGAGAAAATGGAAATGTCATTTGGTCGAAACTCCACCTTTAACCTTTCCCTTTGCTGGCACTGCCGCTGTCCTCTGTTTTGCATCTCTTTGGCCAACCTTTGCTTTGTAATGCACCAGGCATGTAGAAATTAAGGGGGTTTTGCTCTTAACTTTGGTAGTTCAGAAATGGGGCACAGAGGAAGTTGCTGCTTGGCTGGATCTGCTCAATTTGGGAGAGTACAGAGAAATCTTCATTCGTCATGACATCAGAGGGGCTGAACTTTTGCATCTGGAAAGGCGAGATCTTAAGGTATTTCCTTTGTGCTTTTCTTCCGCTTTTGAGATTTTTTTCTGCAAAACAGAATCCTTTCTACTGCACCTCTTCTGTTATGTGCTTGTAGCTTGGCTTATGTCATGCAAATATGCAGTCACTAACACACATTGTCCTGTGGTCTGAGATCCTTGTATGCTTTTTAAATAAGAATGTCAGCGATATTTTCCTGTCAAGATCCTTTTTCCACTATCATAGCTAAAGCTTAGCATGAATTTAATTTCTGCATCCATTTGGTATGGCTGTTCCTGTGCTAATATTTCCAAATGGGTCATGTTTCCTTCCGCTCATTGTATTGGATTGGCATGAAAGGAGATAATTGTTGCTGAAAATGACAAAAAGTAAACAAAAAATTAACAACTAAAAATTGATTCAAAATACCAATAATAAAGCCTTTCTAATATATTAACCAGATGACAGACTTATAGCAGCAGCTCCTTATAGTCTTGTAATTTTGTTGCATTTCTAAATTGACCTTTCAGAGGTTATGTGAACAACTAGACAAATAAATTCAATTTTCCTTTCCATGACTTACTGTTAAAATCGTATTATTCTCAAAAATACATTTTCTTTAGTAAATGATATAAATATTTTGTCTTGCTTTTGCTAGAAAGCAGCTCAGAATCTATTTGTCACATCACAGAGGAGGACAATCATTAATTCACTGTCTGCAGCGATTCTCTTGTTTCTTTGGATAGAGACCCAACAGGGGAATGGCCAAAGTAGCCTATTCCATCTCAGAGTTAGGAGAAGGATTTTGTTATATTCTGTTTTCTTACCATATGCTGCCATTTTAAAGTTCCAAGATTGAAACAAGTGACAAAGCTTTCAACATTTGTTGGAGTGATCTCTTGCCTGTAGCCTAAGTTCTAAAATATATAGAATTATGGTCTGGCAAATTCTTAACAAATTCATGAACTGTTTATGTTTTATCTACAAATACATCAGCACAGATTTTTGTAACACATAATGAGCTGTATATAGATTTTTATGAAGCTGTCATACCGTTTTAGCACATCAAAAAAGTGGACACCACTTATACTTTAACATTGTTTAGCCAAAATAATAAAGTAATATATCAATTACTTTAGTTGAGAGTCCCAAATCTACAGCATGGCAAAATATACAGTGTTAGAATTCATAAAGTAAAGGTGGACTTCAAAACTTGAAATGAGTGCACAAAAAATATAAATGTAGGGGATCATTCTATCCAACATATTTGTGTAGCTTCTGATATCTTTGGCAGGAAGCAATATTTATTGAATAGTTAGTGATTAATATATTATTCCAGCCTCTCTAGGTGGTATCTGCTGTTTAGCAGTTTACATTTCATTTGTCATGAATAAGCATACATTTAAGAAATAGACTGTGTGCATGTGTGTGTATATATATTATGTATGTATATGTTAGACATTTGTACATACAAACATACATACATAAATATACAAATGCCCACACAATGAGCAAAGCAGATAATTACACAGTGAAAAAACAAACTAACACATATACTAAGACAAAGTTAGAGTGCTAGGATCTGGCTGGAAAAAGGAATAAGAGTAAAAAGGAGAAGGTTAAAAATTATTTCAGTAAACTTTCTGTTTAGCTTTTCATGGGACTTTTTTGTTCAGCTTTGTTTTTACTTTTAATGAAAATTTCTTTCTTTCCCTCAAAACTTTTCTTTTAGAAATCTGTACTGACATGGTCTTTTGATTCTAAACAGGGTGTGGAGGAATGGGAAAAGGGAACCAATTTTATAGAAAGAGCCTTCTGTAGAACAAAACCAGGAAGGAAAGAATGAGCTCCCCTTGTTCTCTGTGGGGGCAGCTGTAGGAGGGAGCAGACCCTTCAGAGTAAAGTCTCTAAATAATAGTGAAAGATTACCTACTCACTAAATAATCTTATTCATTCCCATTGCTTCAAATACTGTCTATGAATATATCAATGATTCACAAGTTTCCCTCTCCAGCCCTGACCTCATTTGTGAACTTCAGGATTATATTGCCAATTGTGCCTGACACTTGGCTATTACACAGGGATTTCAATTTTAACATGTCCCAAACCAAACTCCTGTCCCACTCCCACTCTGAATCACCCCTCTCTCCTGCTAGGTGCTCAAGCCAGAGAAACCCAGGTCATAGTCAGCACCTTCCCCTTCCTTATCCTTTTCCCCCTAACTCACTAAGCCCCTCAACAAGCCATGTTGTTTTTAATCTCCATCCATTTCTCTTTCTCCTTACCACAGTCCTCCTCCATGCTACTGTCACCTCTTGCCTGTGTAAAGAGCGTAGCTTCCTAACTGGCCCTTTTATTGATACTCTTGTTTCCTCCAGTCCATTGTCCACCTTGCAAAGGTGGTATTTTAACATCAGGTACGTCATTTTTCTGCTTTAAAGCCTTTCAGTGGTTTTCCATTTCTATTAGAATAATGACCCACATCTTTCTGAGTCCTTTGAGGTTCTGCTCTTTATTCAACCTCCCATGGAATCACTGACACCTGGCTTGGTATGTCCCATCCACCCTCCCATATTTCATTTGCTTAAAAATATGAAACTCTTTCTCGCCTTAGGAGAGTGCATTCCTGTGGTGTGCTTCTCTCACTGCTTCTCACCCAGCTAACTCCCACTCACATCTAGGCTCAGGTGTTACTTCCTTATCACCAAGACAACTGGAGAGAGAAATGTGACAGTCTAATGGTGGGAAAGGAAAATATTTCAAATGTGCTTTAGCAGACAAACAAACTGATTATATTATTTCCTCTCTTGGAACATTGTAGGAAAAGTGAAGTACACCAAAGAAAATAGCACAGACACAGTGGTTTTTGTTTGTTTGGTTGGTCGGTTGGTTTTTATTTTTCAATTTGGAAAGTTTTGTATGAGTGGCTAGGAGGATAACTGAATATCTACAAAGCATCCTTCTGCAAATTAAGCCTATTTATCCAAAGGAAGAGAAAACCGGTAATAAAGAATATGATACAAAAATTAAATATATAATAAATGTTACAGCATAACTTTATCACAACCTGACTCCTAGAAGACGTGAAAGTATGAAACTCAAACTAAAGGAAATATAGCTAAGAAGTTGGTGTAGTCTGTAGAAAACATTTATTTCCTTTATACCAAAATAGTAATTCTGAGTAAGGTCTGCCTCTACCAAAGACGTTTTTGTTCTTGAGGATATAATGGGCATATGCCCTAAAAATATTGAATACCAAATATATTTCTTATTCAGGTACCTGTGTTATCACAAAGCATAAAGAATATTTAAAAGTCCACTCAAATCAAAGAATCTAAATGCAACTGTAAATGCAGTTATATTTCAAATCTCAGTAGTAGGCAATAGGATTGTCCTCAAAGATTTGGCCTCGCTTTTAAGTTTGCTATTTTAGCACACACAAAGGAAATGTTGTTGCCCTAAGACTGATTGTGGATGACCTGGTGTCATATGAGAAAATATTACAGGGCCAGTTAAGTATTGTAAAAGTGTTGTCATGAAATTTTCTCAAGCTTGAAAAGAGGGCTGGGTATGGAAAGAGTGTTTTCCAGAAGGGTTCAAAATTGCCAGTAGCATTGCTGCTATAGAAATCAAAGGGCTCATGAAAGAATATGAAAGAGAGAGAACACGTGTGTGTGTGTGTGTCTGAAGACTTAAAACCATTTAATCTATTTCATTTAAAAGTTTAAAAGTAATTATGATCTTAGTCTACAAAATAGAGTGATATTTGGAATCTTCTCAGACAGTCTTGTCCCTTATAATCCTGTTTTCCAGGCTGCTTTGGAAGTCAACTTCTTACTAATTTTCAGGTATTTCAATCTCTCTGTTTTATAAAGAAGTTATTTGGCTTCACATACTAGCAGATTGATAATGTCCATTATACTTAAAGAAGCTCTGTGGTTTGGAGGCATTCACCCTTTCTTTTGGCTTTTCAGACAGTGAAAATTGTAGCAATCTTGGATGTGTTTCATTAATTCCTGCAAGTATGTATTTGCCAAGTTCCTGCTGTATGCTGCCCACTCTGCAGTCCTCATCCATTTCTTAAAGTTAAACATTGGATTCTTGGTCCTTTATAGGAAGGCAGATCCTTAAGAAACAAGAAGAATTCTGAGAGAAAGGAGCCAAATGTGTTTTGAGGAAAAGCAACAACCTACAGATATCTATGTTTAAGTAATTTTTTACACTTACACATTACAAAGTATAAAGAATATTTAAATATGCCACTCAAATTGAAGACTCTAAATGCAACAGTTGCATTTATATTCCAAATGTAGGTGGTGGGCACTGGTATCTTCCTGTAGGATTAGACCTCACTTTTAAGTTTAATATTTTAGCAGGGAAATGGATAGTTGCCTGAGGGCTAATTGTGGATGTCCTGATGTCCCATGTCACATTTCTCAGAGATCCCAAAAGGACGTGTATTTTAAAAAAAGGAGAGAAAGAGAAAACTAATTTTGATTCTTGAAGAACTGCTATTGTGTACAGTTTACAGGAGTGTTGTATTTAAGAGTTTGCGTAAGATATAATTTTTTACTGGTTGATAATTTTTCAATATCAGGTTATTTTGTTTTATAAACTTATTTTCCAGCTTATATTTCATGAATCATTGAATATCAAATAAACTAAATGTTTATTATGTTATTTGCCAGTTAAATATTTAATCCCCAGTTTTTTCTTACCAATAAACTTCTTTCTCTTCTTTCTTTTTTTCTGCTTGCCTTCTACCTTTTTTGTTTTTTGTTTTTTTAGGACCTGGGGATAACGAAAGTGGGTCATATGAAGCGAATTCTCCAGGGAATTAAAGATCTTGAGAGGAGCACTCCTCAGTCTGAGGTGTAATCATATTGGTGCTATTCCTTGGAAGGGAAGTAATTGCTACTTAATGCAAAGTTCTTGGAAACAGGTGGCTGTTCTTGTAGTTTTCTGCCTAGATAAGTAAGCACCAGGAAAGCACCTCTATGGCTTGCTATTTTTCTGTGGGTAAAAATTTTTATTTGAGGTATTAGAAAATATTTTTGTGCCAAAAATTGCATTCCACAAAGCTATTTTCTTATTGTGCAAACCCTACCTATTCAAATATGTTCATATTAGTAGAATGGTAAGAGGAATCTGAGGCAATTGCATTCACTAAAAGGTGGAATTACAAAATGTTCACTTCTCTTACACCTGGTCAGAGGGAATGTTCTTACTGTGCAGTCATGAAATAGGATATGGCTAAAGTTTCTTAGGTTTCATTTTTGGAGGCATTGGCTTCCTAACGTCACTGGTTAGGAGACTCAGATGTAAAGTGAGTCGTGTTTTGAATGTTAGATTCGGCTCACTTCAGATTTCTAGCACTCAGTGGTCAAAGAATATGGTTAAAAAAAAAAAACCAGGTCCTATGAATGAATGCAAATCTTAATGCATGATGTTACTGCCTGGATTGCCTCTCTTTCTTGCATGTCACATGTACTATTGTAACATTTAGCTTTAATGTCAGTTTGAATGTAATATAATTTATTACTACCTAAGTACCTTTTTTGTTAATGAAAGGCACTTTTCTGTTCTTTGATGTGGAATTTTGCATAAATATCCTGTATCTAAGAATTTGTGTCTGTGCCATAATCCACAGATGATATCATCTTATGCAAACCAATGTTACATCAACCTGTTATAAACAGTAGGTGTTCACATTAAGAAAATTCTCTGGATATTTTCCTAAAAGTACATGTTCTGTTTCCTAACAAAACTTAGTATATCTTTCCAAACCAAAATTCCCACATTTTGTTCTTATTTTTCAATTTCATAATTATTTAATACTCTGTTTGCATTTATAATATAGTAGACTATTGATCCAGAAATTTCCCCAAGGTCTCAACTGGGACTTGTATGCTTGTTCGCCATCCATGCTCGCCCACTAGCTAAAGTGGCTCCGATATGAACTTCCAAAAAGAAAAGATGAATTTTTTCTTAAGGGTTTATGTAAATATTATCTCACTTAATTCTTGTAGATATTATTTTCCTTTTTCTAAACCACTATACTTCATGGTAGCTTATTAGGAATCAACATTATAATTATCAAATCTTTGAAAACCAGAAGCATACATATCAAAGTCATGAAAATATCCTCAAATAAGCTTTCTTTAGACATTACATACCAAAAAATAAATTATAATATTTAAAAATCATCTATTTCAGAGAAGTAAACAGGGTATTGACCTATGGTGACAGTTTTCCTAAAGATAGGTGCTCAGTAGATAGACACACACACAAATGTACATATACAAATATATATGTACATATACAAATATATATGTACATTCACACTTATGTACATATTCACACTTATGTACATATAATCTTGAATGATTCTTTCATTGATATTTTCTAGACAGTGATTTGCCAAATGCTTGAAGAGAAATATTGATGAAAAAGCATTTAAAATGAACTAGTATCAGACAAATAATTTAATTGTATCAAAAGAGTTTAAATATTTGACACTTAATCTTATTTATAACTTGAGCATTTAACTTCTAGTAAAATCACACAATTTGGATATCTTAAAAAAACATGAACTTGATGGGTTCCTGAACAAGTGTGTCTGACTATATATTTTACCTAAGTTGTGAATAAATGGAAATTTCCCAAGAGGAATTATATCAAGTAGCTTAAGAGAGTAAAAAGCTACTCATTAGATAATTTTAATGTCATCCTCACCAGTAACATCAAAGTTCTTCTTTTCCTGTCCCTTTTATAGTTCCCCGCCCTGAAAGGTGTCCTGCTCTTCCAGGCACTTCTGTGAAATCAAATGGCAATGCCAGATTCTCACAACTCTGCTGAGATCACAGATCCTGGTCTGACTGCACCAAAAAAGGGGAGGTGGAGGCAAGGAGGTGAGAAACTCTAGAGAAGAATGAATTAATATAAAACTACTTACTGTTTTTCACTTCTCCAAAATACTCCTTTGCCAATAGAAAAGATTGTCAGGCTGTCACAGAGATTCTCAGAATTAGAGAGTAAGGTATAAATGACTGAATATTTTTGTTTGGCATTGATCTTTTTACTCTTAGGTAACATCTCATATATGCTGTAAAACTGCAGTTAATAGTATCCTTAGCTAGACTTTTCCTGCAAATGATTTTTGGATGAGGGAAATCCTTTAAAGTGATAGTTTTGATACTTCTTTTATTAAATGAGAGTGGTTTTTCCTGTATGCTTGTCTGTGCATGGCTGTGTAGGCCCCAAGTGACGTTTGCCCAGATGGTCCCCTCAGAGCCTCCCTAGGCCCCTGTCAGTGTCACGGGAACCAGCTGCTTATAGTAGATGGGGCGACACAAAAAAAGAGGGTCTGCATGCGGTCTGATCACAGCTCTGGTGAGTGCTGGTGGGACCTCTATACCTAAGTAAAATTTTGGAGTACTGAATTATTTTCCCTCCTGTCTTCCCACCTCCCTTTGTGAATTTCTTTCCCACTTCCTGGATTCCTATTTTCCCACATACCCAGTACAGTGATGGTTGCAAAAATTCTCACTACAATGTGCCACCCTTTCCTCATCAGCTGTCCCACTACAAAATGATTCTTCTTCCCCACTTTAGCACCCATTGTAGGTCATCGGCAGAGTGTTATAATAAAATTTAAAGACACCAGTTTTGTAGCTTGCGTTTTATAAAAGGAAACTTCCTAATATAAATAAGTTAACAAGTTAAATAACATGGGGACCATGATCTGTATTGCTCTGGCTGAGAAGAGATGCCCTGTGAATGTCTAGATCTCTACTGTTCAGTATTGTAGCTACTAGCCACATGTGACTATCTAAATTTAAATTAATTAGAAATTTACTTTCTCAGTTGGGCTAGCCCCATTTCAAGTGCTCAGTAACCATAGTGGCGGTGCACATGTTGAATGCTTCCTCATTGCAGTAATTCCACTGGATAGCACTGGTCTAGATGCTGCTACTCATAATGTGGTCCGTGGATCACCAGCATCCATATCACCTGGGAGCTATTATAGAAATGCAGAATCTCAGGTGTACTTCAAACCTACTGACTCAAAATTTCCCTTTTAACAAGATTCATCAGGTGATTATTACTGGCCTAGACAGCATATTCTTCCTCCTAGATATTAGGGATACGAGGGCTTCAAAAAGATCCTAAAAGTAGCTCACTCTCCAATCTTATTTTTTGTCTGTTCTCCAGCTATTCCCAGAAATGACTTGAAACTGTAGCTGAGTTTTCTTCTCAGTCTTTATTCGTAATTCTGGTTCTAGATGAGTTCTACCTACCCAGTGGGTATATTTTGGTAGCTAAGGTGTAACGCAGAGGAGATTGGCTGATGGACACAGCTGGCCTCTCTCCAGCCCCTCACCTCATGTCTAAGTCACAAACAATCTACATTTACTCAGTTTCTTGCTCAAGTGGCATTCTCATTTGTTCACAACTTAAGTCACAGGGAACATTGCAGAAAAGTCACTGAGATAAGTATAGACCAGATCAATCTCCTACAATTTGTACACTTTCACTTTCTCTTATCAGTAGATTATGGTGTTGACATAGTGCATGCTTGAGGATACATAGCAGCACCCACACATTAAAAGAACCTTTAGGCATGAACAAAAAAGAACCAAAAGATTGTAAGTAAAGTGAATACCATTAAAGCCCTTAAAGAGGGCATGTTTTCCTAGACTTTATTTTTCTTTTATGTCACCTTACCTTGATTCTCAGGTAGTTATTATTTTAAAAAATTCTTAAAATAGTGCCTGAAAAATACCATAGTTTTGATCCTCAAAATACAAATTTGTTTAATTCTATAGTAAAGTCTTTCCCAATGACTGATTGTCAATACTCTTTCACTTACTAGTTTTTATATACTGAAATAATTTACAAAAACATTACTGCCTAGAGATTCTTTCACTGATTTTAATGCATAAGGAGGGCATTACTTTAGTCTTCATAGAAATTTTTTAACGGTATTGAGGAAGGAAATATTCATGCAAAGCTTCAAAAATTTTAGTGGAAACTTCTATACATCACTTTTAAAGTAAGTTATCTATTATTTCCAATTGGGGTGAAAACATAGTGGACTTGCATATGGACTTTCACATACACAGATGTGAATTCTTTAAGGATATAACTTTTAATTAGGCTCTAAAAGCAGTGCATCTCTCAGTCTTGACCTCTAGGCCCTGTCCTGCCACCTCCCCCATAATGAACTCATGCTGCATTTTTCAGATGCACGTTGGATAAAACAGTGGGCTTAGAGCTTAATAATACAAGTAGCAGTTTTAAAACACCCAGTTCAGCTGAAAAGAGTAGTGAAGATTCCCCAAATACCAAGTATTGGTCAGTGGAATAGCTTCCCTGAGTAGTTCCCACAGTGCTTGGCTGCCAGGCCTCCCCTGCCCCTCCTGCAGTCCCATCCCAGGTGCCATGGGCCCTGGGATTGTTCGTCTGGGCCATGGCATCTCCCCAGTGACTTTTGTGTAGCAATTTCTGTAATGGGTGTCAGGTGGTTAATATGATGATGCATTTGCAGTAGAGTGCCTTCCTAAAGAAACAGCGAAACCTTTAAAAAGACGATGCTCAGTGTGTCTTGTAATATGCAGAGCATTAATTTTTTTATCTTTATTACTATTTCTCTTTATTGTTTTCTCCAAGTTTTGTTTAAAGACATTTCTGTTAGAAGAAAAAACTATAAAGGTTTATCATACAGAGAACAGAGAGATGAGACAGCTGGACTGTACCTATTTGTATACTTCTTTCCATTATTTTCAGGAAAAGAAGTGTAACAGAGTAGCTGAGACTTCATGAAACTCAGTAACGATGTTTAAGATAAACCCTATATAAAGAAGATATCCTATTTCTGTATATTTATATCCTCTCTTAATTTTGAATGCACTTCCAAATTTTAGTTGGAAATATAGGAATCAAGCCACTACTTAAAAGTTATAAAAACTCCACATAAAATATTTGATTTAGTACAAGTTATTCATTGTATAGGAATTTATAAATAGCCTGGATATTTCATAGGAACTGCATTTCAAGAGTAAATGAATCAAACCTAAAGGAACATAGGGTAACTTTTTAAATGCATTAAAATAACTTTCATACTTAGTTGAAGATGCCATTGAAATAGGACAATGCAGTTATATATACAAGCTAAGAAACAAAGAATATATTTTGTGGTCCTTGCTATTTGATTGCACTATTGTTTACCATAGCTTAGCTGTATCTATTTCTATATTCTAAGTATTAAGCTGATATGTAGCTAAAGATTTCTTACAGTTCTGGTAACTGGTAACTAGTGCTGTGAAAAGTTTTGGTATTGTAACATTCCCAGTTTTGTGAGTTATATATTGTATATTGAAGATGACTTAATAAATTGGAGTAATATATTTATCTAGAGCTGGGAAAATAAGGTAATTATTTTCAAATTTTCAAGTAAGTTGTATCAAAATTTTTTTCTTCCTCTTGAGTGAGCTAAATGTCTCACTTTTATGTTAAAATATCTATTTATACAACAGGGGTCTCCTTTTACTGGTTTTATTAATTTTCCTATTAAAAGTTTTCGTATCTTTTTATACCAAAATAATTATCATGCTGGTTACCCAAATTGCCAAGATTTTGCAGGAATTTTGGCAGGCAAAATATTTAATAACCAACCAGCTTTGTACATTTTCTGGCTTTGGGGGCAAGAATTTTACCTTTGAATCTCTGTGTGAGGCAGCACTGATACCAGCAAAGTCAGTAATTGTGTTACTCATAATCATCAGTAGAAGGTTTTCACAGGTTGTGTTAATCAGTGCATTTATTTATTATGTTGTGAAATTTAATCTTTATTCAAAGAGCAAATTCTAGCTCTTTGTTACTGCTCTTGCTTAGAGTGTGATAGCTCTGTTAATGATTTACTTACATACTTGAAGTACTCATTTCTGTCAAACAGATGCCCAACTTCTCATTGTAAAAAATAATGTTCTTTTCCATTATGAATACTGAAGAGTAAAAGGAACTTTAAAAATAATTTTCATGTTCAAAAAGAAAAAAGGAAAAAAGCATAAAGCCAAAATGAAATCAGCAGTATTAAGAATTCAGTGCAACCATGGGATTCATGGAACTATGTTTTGCCAATACATATTTTGCCTTCAAGTTAGAACTTCTCTGTGGCAAATTTTCAATTTTTGCTATAATAGAGATCTCAATGATTGTACTGCCAATATAACATTCAAATGAACACTGAGATCTTAAACTCGCAAAAATATCATATGCCTCTAGGGGCCAGCTCTAGGTTTCAGGGTGTATATTTTTAACACAAGTTTGTATTTGATTCTGTGCTACGTCACAAATAGTAACCATGATAATAGTTTATTTGTTTGTTTCTGCCAATTAAGGCAGTGGGATTTTAATTGAAGTTCAAATTTTTTTGTTTAAAAGCATCCTTTACTCTTTGAAAAAACTAAAAATTTAAAACAATGGCACAACATGCCACACAGAATAAAATCACGTTTTCAAGGAAGAAAAAAACTGTTCTGACTTAATATGAGGCAATGTTGTATACCAAAGAAATCACTTTAGCAAGCCCTCAATTCAACTGTTTTATGGTTACACAGTATAAGCAGTAGATGAATTCTGAGCCATTTAAGAACTATAGTAAGAAATTAAGAATTCACTTACTGTATTTTTAAAGACATAAGAGTTTTTAAAATTAATTTTACTGTTGCACAAGCAATTACTGAAGGCAGGACAAAAAATAAGTGGGAAACATTATAAGGTAAAAGTAGGTTGAGTTGGTAATTTAGCAAAGATTTGGGAACACATAGTTTGAACACAGTTAATTTGATCTTATACTGTAGAAATGCAGAACACGTGTGAGAGATACAGTAGGCATAATACCACAAAAACAAAGCAGTGTCACATTGATGAAGTCTGCGACTGTGTCTTAGCAAAATAGCCAGTGAATTCAGGGAGCCCGTTCTGTTGAAATTTAGAAGTCAGTTAAGCAGATGGTTTGGGTGACTTAACCATTTGTGTTTATTCCACGAGGCAAATTTCTCCACTTTGTGATTGATGTAGGGAGAACTTGTATAAAGGGCTTCACTAGTTCTTTTAAAAGAACCTTGCTAAATGTGCATCAAACCATATCATTCAAACTAAAGAGACCCTCATGAACTTGCTGAGCCTTAACATTTTTTAGCAATAATAGATTTTCCTTCCATTTTAAACAAAAAAATATTAAAACTTATAATATAAATAGCTGGATTCTGTGATAGTCGAGATGGGAATATGATTTAGGTTTGTTGGGTTCCATAACCAACTCTGGCACTGGCTCACCGAGTCCCTTCTACAAACTTTTTGTTTAGATGCCTCAGTTTCCCCAATTAGAAATAGCACATAATGTTATCTTATGCAAACTTAGTATTTTTTTCTTTTGCAAAAGGAACTATGTGTATGTCATGCCTAAGTTTGCTATTTCTTTCCCACTGTTATTTGAGACCTAAAAAAAGGCTTCCAAGACTATAGCATGAAAATTAGAAGTTCAAATTTATATCCCTTGATATTCAGTTTAAAAATGAGAGTGAAGTTACATTAGTACTCCATGTACCAGAATAGGTTTGGGTGTTTTCATATTTACTAGTTTCATATTAATTCATTTTAGGATAGACTAAAAACTCATTTCTAAAACCTTCATAAATTTTGAGTAATTTTGCTTTTTCTACACTCACCCCAGACAACCATTTTAAATAAGAGCTTCTTTAATTCTTAGATTAATTCCCCAGAAGGAAAGTGTCCCTTTAAATCAGTGGTTACACAAATGGAATATGGACTCTCTTACTTTGTTTTACCCTGTGACATCATTTACTCTCTGTACCAAGTGAATTCTTCTTGGCTTCTGTGCTGTTTGATCCAAAGCCTGGATCACTAGCTACATTCTCTGGCTGTGGAATGATATTCCCTCACGCAAAGCACCTCCAAAACTTTCTGTAAAGAAACTAAATTACAGATTGCCTTGTCACCACAATAGAAATCTGAGTACGATTAAGAGAAATACATCCCAATAAGTCATTCAATATAGATGAGGGTATATGGCTACTGACTTTATTTTTACCTGGAATTTGAATTCAGTCACTATCTGATCTTCAATTTAAGTTTTATTTCCTAAATCTGGCATTTATGATAGCATAATATCATAACTTGGAGCTCCTGTTATATTCCCCTTCCCTAAAAACATTGGAATTATGAGGGGGTGTAAGCCACATGACGTAAAGGAAAAGACTGAATCAGAATTCATTCACATGCTATTTTAATCTGTCTTAATGACATAACAGTTTTCACAATGACAGATCTCTTAAGTGATGGTTCCAGAATGATTTGGTACAGTGATGGAAAGAAATTAGTTTTCTGGGAATTGGGCTTTCCACAATGACCTGATACAGATATCCTTAGCATAATTAAAACGAATTATAACTTTAATCAGAGCCTACCCTGTTCACAGCTTCCATTTGGGCAGCAATGTTTACATAATGATGAAGATTGAAAAATTGCCAACTCGAGCAGTTCTTTTGTTTCCTCTCCTCCTTCCCCTTGAAAAGCATTCAGAAAGCTTTTGGGAGATGACACAGTCTTCATGGCAACATTAGCGGTTATGTTCTGCCAAGAAACTTGTCAACTAAAACACGGAGCAACACAAATGCTTACCCTAAACTTAGTTTTGAATTGCGGAAGCAAAAGCATTTTATATATCAACATCTTTTCAATATTTATGCAATTGCATGTTTTGATTTTTGTCCATCTCAAAAATTGAATTGGCGTTCTGTGTTCTGTTTCTGATTAGTTGAAGTAAAGTGATAATTCCATTGCCTTGGTTCAGGCCTTTATCAGTACAAACCTTTCCCATTTTGCTGTGCTTTTGCCATTTTATTTTCTCAGCAACCAGTTTTCCTACCCGCTTTCTCTCCCACCTCTATTCCACCTTTCACAAAGCTGATGAGTAGTTTTTCTACAACACAAGTTTGCTTTGTCATCCCTCTGCTAAAAATTCTTAAGTAGGCTCTACTTTTTTCAGAGCACAGTAACCCAACTCTTCAGAGTGATGGATAAGGGTCTCTGACTTGCCTTTTCCCACTTTTAACATCTTCACCCAACATTTCCTTTAGAAACCTTTTGTAACCCTAGAATTTGAAACTATTCACAAATCAGTGCCTTGGCAAAAATCATGTGCCATTGATCCACTCATTCAAGACTCAGTTCAAGTTTAACCTTCTGTAAAGCTTTACCTGACTTCCCCAGTCAGAGTATTTCATCCATGCTTCATAATAGCTTGAAACCTTTTCTGTTAAAATAACATTATATTCAGTATTTTTTTTATATAGATGCCTGCCCCTGCTGCTGAATTGCTCTAACTTTGTAGTCTATGTCTAGCTAGCACATCATAGGATCTTAATAAATGTTTTTAAATGAATGAAGTTAATGTAGAACCCAAATGTCTCTATATTTTTATTCTTACACAGTGAAAGCTTAGACTTCCCTGAGAGTGCCCGAGGGCTGTGCATTCATGAGCGAGTGAGCCTGCATCATGCACTCAGGGCAGACCAACAGAAAATGAAGAGCAGGGAAGAGTAGTTGTTTTATGAAGGGTATTTGTTAACTTAATCAGAAATGTTTATCAAATCTGAATCCTTCTCTCTAAAATGAGGCTACAAAAGTTCCACGTAACTGTCAAATTTTATTTGTAGTTCATAAATATGCCCTAAAGATTACTTTTCCCTTCTGCAGACACATTCAGTGTATACAGTCCACACAAGCACATATGTTGATACACAAAAATAATGAAACTTGAGAAAGAATTTTTTTTAATTGTGAAAGTGAAATTTCCTTAAAAATAATATTCATCCAGAGACATAGACTGAATCTGTGTGATTTCAGGTCATTTACAGTTAATGATTATTTCATTTTTTATAATGTATGAAAGCCTGTTTGTGACTGTTACCACCCCTTGTAGAACATAAAGCCTAAGAACTGTTAACCTAAGGCTTTGTTTTTCTTTTGTGACTCTATGAAGCCTTTCTACCATGTTCCCAAGTATGATAAGAGGTTAACTTAAAAAGTTCCATATAGTTAGTAATTTCTAAAATTAAATAGTAGTAAAAAAATGCATGTAATTAAATACCCTTTCCTTTACTCATATGAGAAACATTTTTCTATCTGCTCTATACCTGGCATTTGATTAGATCTTGGGGATATAAATAAAAGGAGGCATAGCTCATGTCTAGTAGAATTTGTTTGTTTTGATGTGGTTTTTTGTTTTTTTTTTGTAAAATCTGTTTTAAGAAATTGAGGGGACATTTTTAAATGAAATATTTCTCAGGTTATTTCAGAGACGTGGTCTCCTTCCACCCAAAAAACTAGTCAAATTTTGTGCTACAGAAGTAATCCCATTTTTATGTTCACAATTTTTATATTTTCAGGTCAGCCACAAATATTTTGGGGCATCACTTGTCAATTACATCTTTCATCAACCCTGTGGAACCCCATGTCCACAACCATAGATGTTATGTGTGATCAGTAGCTAATAGATTTGTAGAACATGAAATAAATTTGAAGTCCATTTTAAGAAGGCATATATCCCTAGGAGTGACACATGCATCAAAATTATGAGGTATACATTGTGAGCCCACTGTAGAGGAAAAGAGTTACAAAGTAATCCTTCCTGGTATACTTCAAAGGCTCCATTTGAAGTTGTGGCTTCATTTTCCACCTCAGTTGTTTGCAATGGGAGGTAGGGAGTATTAATCTTTAACAAGTAGCATACTTATCTAAGCAAATAGAAATATACTACTAGCATTTGTGTGCCATGATGCACTGACATATAGGTGAAACCAAAATATTTGAGTTATAAAAATTAACTTCTCTGAATATTTATTAATGGTTAGGCAATAGATTCCTTTATGAGAAGAAAACTGTCTTTATCTTCATTATCAGAAAGTAGGGAAAAAACCTTATTTGTATGTATATTTATGTTTTGATAGAAATATTTTAAAGTCACCATTTCCCATCGGTATAAAGTATCAACCATTTTTTTGTTCTCTAGCAAAAGGAAATGATTAGTTTGATACAACTTTACTATTTGTTTGATGTTTTAAAAGGTCCACAAAAGAAGGAGGCTTAGAAGGCTGGACACTTTGCCCTTATATTTACCGTATTTATTTTGCCTTACAATAAAGAAAATCAGTAATTATTTGCCTCCTATTTGTCATGATGTTGGAAATCTTGCTGTATAGTTCCTTTTGTCTCTGACATTGCAAAAATAGGTTGAATCTAGCCTTTGCCATAATATTTATAGTTAAGAATTCACTACATTTTGGTAGTCTGTTTTGAAACTTGTATCTGAAAGATGCAGATCATGTCTATTTATTACATGGTGGGCTCTGTTTGCTGCAGAAAAGAGTGAAACTTTTAACTGCTTAGCACACTTGCCAGTGAAATATACCTGACAGAGCAGAGGTTATAACTTTGGCTCTAATTACTTTTAATAATGGTAAGAAAACGTGACTTTTGTTTACATGCTGTTTACAATGGCATAATTTTTTAAATATATATAACAATTGAGATATTTATTGCATACTATTTTAAAGATGTTTTATGTATTTTCACCTTTGGGATATATTGTTACAGTTCCTTATACAGATAATTTGGGTGGCTTTGTTAATATAGCTAGAAATTGTTATGACTACTAAGTGACCAGTTTTCCGTGCCTTTTATTGTGGGATGCATGATTATGTATTTATTGTACGGAAGTCACTGATGTGTGTATTTTTGTACTTTGCTGAGAGTAATGGTTGATCTCAATGTATATGATGATGAGACATGCCTTTCCCAAAGGGCACTGCCTTGAGACCGTTCTCAAATAAAAATTAGAATGCATTTGGAGAATGTGTGAAGTCTATGTTCTTTCTGGTGGGAAGTCTTTTTTTTTTTTTTTAACTTTTTATTTTGAGAAGTTGTAGATTCACATACAGTTGTAAGAAATAATACAAAGAGGTCCTGTGTACCCTTTACCCAGTTTCCCCAGTGAGAGCGTCTTGCAAGCCTATAGTACATCACAGCCAGGATATTGACCTTGATACAGTCAAGATGCTGCACAGTTCTCTCACCACAGGGACCCACAACGAGGACCCCTCATGTTGCCCTTTTATAGCCACACCTACTTCCTTCCCACCTCCTCCCCCATCTTAACCCAGCAACACAGATCTATCTCCACTCCTATAATTTTGTCATTTCAAGGACACTGTATTAATGGAATCATACAGTATGTGACTTTTTTCCCCTCAGCTTAATTCCCTGCAGATCTCCTCCAAATTGTTGCATGTATTAATAGTTCAGTTCTTTTTATTGCTGAGTAATATTCCATCTGGTGGGGTGAGTTCTTAAATGACAAATATAATTTGGTTTATGGTTAGTGAGTCCTTGAAATTCACAAATAAACACTTGTTAAGAACCAAATGCCTGATAGGCATCGTCTGCAGTGCTGATGACCTATGAATAGTCCTTTTGAGATTACTTACTGTCTAGTGAAGGAGAAAGAGTGTAACCCAGAGTGTTATGTGCAGTGATAAAAATATGCCACCAAATATGTGGGCAGCACAGAGGAAGGGAGGGTGCAGAGGAGTTTTAGGGGCACCTTCTGGATAAGCCACATTGACTTGAGTCTTAAGGCAGTTAGCAGGCAAAGCCTGTGTGTGAGAAAGGCCCGGCAGACAGCACAAGGCAAGTCAGGGAAACAGCCTGGCAGCTGTGGCTTACCACTACTGAAGCATAAGAGAACACAGCAAAGAACAGCAGATGGAGTTTGAGTAGTGAGGACAGAACAGGGCCATCAGATTTGAGCCCTGCACAGGACCTTCTTAGCTGGAGGGACTTCTTTAGGGCAGTTTTAGTGGAACTGGAAAGGAGGAAATAGATTTGAGAGATCCTGAGTTGTGGGTGCCATTCACTTGGAGACCTGTTGTGGATGACCAAAAGAGAAGAATCCCAGGTTTCCTACCAATGGAAAAGGAAAATATCAAGGTCAAATTCGGATTTGGGCATCATGGGTTTTAAGATGATTGAAGGGTGTCCAAATGATACATGCAATGTTGGCATGAAGTATGGGAAGGAGATACAGCTGTGGGTCGAAGCCATTAGGGAAGATGGGCTTGTCACGGAAGATCCTCAGGGACTCGGAATAAAGGCCCGCAGCGCTGGGACTAAGCCCACTGAAAATTGAATATTAGCCCCATTTGAAACACCCTCATGTACTCCACACAATTCCAGTTGCTTCTACTTCTGGCAGTGATCTTTTGGATAAATGTGGGCCTTGAGAATGTCTTTCTTGGAGCAGTGGCACCAACTTAACAAACAGCAAGCAGCCCTGAGAACCACCGAGTCAGGTGAAGCTTATTCCCGCCTGTCTCCTCTCCCACTCAGCCTCCCTCCTACCCAAATCTCTGCTGCCTAGCAACCTGGCACGCCTGAGAGAGTCTGCAAACGAAAGGAACCGTTGATCATATCTAATTTTTTTCAAGATTTTTTGACAGTTACAGTGAGAAACTCATTTTCCCCAGTATGCAAAAATAAATATGTAGATGTGTGTGTACACACACACACACACACACACATATACACATATATGTTAGCAAGTTTAACAAAACAGTACTTACTTTCAATGTGCTTTAATAGTTTCTATTTTGCTTTTAAAAATACTGATTGCAAACTATGAACATGATTTTATAATCCACCTTTCATTATAGTCTACCTTTTATAATGAAAGGGTCAGCAAACTTTCTGTAAAGGGCCAGGTAGTAAATAAGTGTGGTTTTGTAAGCCATGTGGTCTCTGTCAGGTCCACTCAACTGTGCCATCACAGCAGGAAAGCAGCCGTAGACAAAACGTAACTGATGAACGTAACTGTGTGGCAATAAAACGTTATCTACAAAAACAGATGGCGGCCCAGCCCCTGCACTAATAGGTCAAAGCTCACAGTTCAACAGTTGCCAATGCTCAGCTGACTGCCTAAAAATCATCTGGAAAGCTTGTGAAAAAAAGTTCAAGACCTAGCCAGACCTGCAGAACCAGAATCACTGGAGGAGGGGTTGGGCTGCCACTTTGATCCCCTCTCCCTGAGTGATTCCTACCTGTGGTCAGATTTAGGAGTCAGTGATCTAATCCAACCCCACAGTCCCCATATTACAAAAAATAAACATAAGTGTGAAGGCTAAGTTGTGAACTCTGAGCAATTGTAAATAAATTTAAAGAATAAGGTCATACAAACTGGGGATTCACCACAGTGCAGTTAAATTGGAAATTAATAACAAGTCTGAAACAATATAAAACCTACCTTTCATAATTTGTTCAATAGATAACCTTGCAGAAACTCAGCAAAAGTGATAACCAATGAAAGGACAGAAGCCAATGTCCATTAAACTGATAATGAGAATATTAAACATCTCAAGGCTATTATAAAAGGTTACTCAGCTCAAAGACATGAATGTCTAAAAGCTCACTACTCTATGATGACAATTTTTCAGCCAATGAGGAACACTGATACATACCACTCTACTATGCTTAATTATGACTTGATGGACTACGTAATTTCATGATTTTGATCTGGAATCAAATTTTTAAAGCCAGTCAGCTGATTTTGAAGTGATGATTGCATGATGTCAAAGTTTTATTTTGGGGGGGGCCTAAAGTGATTTTTTAATTTAAAAGTGAAATTCGGTCTGTATTTTCAATATGGAAATTATCTTAATACAGGCTTATCAAGTATACAGTATATATGGACTTTAACATATTAAAACAAAACTAGTATAAACAGGCACAAGAAACACTGAAAGTTAAAAACTAAGGTTAGTGAATTGATTGTAAACTGTAGCTTAAATATTAATTTATATTCACTTTTATACTTACTCATATTGGTTCTGCAGTCTCTGATAAATAAAGTACTTTAAGCTTTCATTGAAGTAATTTATTTTCCCTGCATGTTGAATCTAAATAAAAGCAAAGCTTTGACATCCTCCTGTGAACTGCTGCTTTTTTTTTCTCATCCATGTCGGTTTCATTGTCCCCTGCCCACAGTACAACACACAACACACACACCACGTCTTCTCTACCTGTCAAACTCCTGCTTATCCATAAAGTCTCAGCTCAAGGAATCCTGCAATGGAACCTTCTAAAATTCACCAAGACAAACCGACACTGGTTTCTGTTCCCATTACACTTTGTTCCTATTACATCTTGCTAGAGCAATTATATTGCATCATAATGATGAATGCTTCTCTCTTCCCACTAAATCAGCTGTTTCTTAAGATTAGAGAGCATGTATTATTCATCTTGTCCCCACTGAATTGCACAAAGCTTGACTCCTCTAGCTGGTCTTCAAAAAATGTATATGGAATAAATGAAGAGAGTACCTCGCTTGCAATATTTTGTTTAAAACTCTTACATCTATGTTCATAATTGACATTTCATGGCCCTTGTCTAGCTTTGGAGTCAAGGCTCATAAAATGAATTGAGGGAACATTTCTTCTTTTTTATTCTGTGGAAGAATCTGCATAAGAAAAGAGCTGTCTGTTCTGTGAATGTACGGTAAAATTATCTGTAAAACTGTCTAATAATAGCTTTATTATTTCCTATTTTCTTTGGGTTTGTTCTCTTATTTTTCTAACTTCTTGGGGTGAATGCTTATAAGTATAATCTCTTTACTTATCAATAAAAACATGTCAATTATTGATTTTCCTGTAAGTACTATTTTTGCTGCATGCCACAAGGATTTTCCTATTTTATTTTTTGGGGGCCATGTAGGAAGATGGTCATTTGCTTGTTTAGGAATCTAAGGGACAAGTTAAATCTCTTAAGGGAGGTCAGTGGGCTGAGACTCAGGATAGGTCTTTTAACTCCCATTAGTTAGGAAACCTAGGCAGAATCTCAGTCAGACTGACCCAGCATGGTGGAAGCGGGAGAAAGCTGGAGTTCAGTGGAGAGATGTTTTGGGTGCTCAGACTGGACAGCAAGTCCCCCAGACACTAGGCTTGCAACTGCCCCCTGACGCCATGTGATAGCCCTCCAGTGTGCAGATGCCCTGCCTGCTCAGGACTCACTGGGCAAGGCTGAGCCTGCTGGGGAAGGTCTCAGGCATCCCACAACTTTCAGAATGTGGTCTCATTATTATCCTATTTCAAGCACTTAATAATTTCCTTTATGAATTTTGTCTTCAATTTACAAGATTTTAATTTGTTAAAGGCAGCTCTCTTCCCTGGAGGTGGTCTGGTCATAGCCCATTGGATGGGTTAATTTCTGACTCACTCTTACACTGAGGGGGCTACCTTTTGTTTTTAGTTTAATGAGATGGGGGGTTGCTCTTAGACTCCCCACTTAATGGTGGGTCCTGGTTTGACTGTCTTCTTCCTGAGATCCTAGGAGCCATGAAAACAACAGCCCAATTTAGCCATTTTAGCAAATGCCCTCAGATAAAATTCAATCATAAGCTTAACTCTTTGGGTTCTTGTCTTCCTGAAGATTTTACTCAACATTTTATTTATTTACAAAGGGAAGGTTGGTCCAAATCTGCACAATCCAGTATGGTAGCCACTAGCTATATGTGGCTATTGAACATTTGAGATGAAACTAGTCTGAATTTAGATATACATATCAGAATTTGCAAGTTAGTATGAAAAAAATAATGTAAAATGTCTCAATAATAATTCATCTATTGGTTAAATGTTGAATTGATAGTTTGGATATATTGGATTAAATAAATTTGGAATCAATTTCATGTGTTTCTCCTTAGTTTTTTAATGTGGCTACTTGAAAGTTTTAAATATACATGGCTTGTATTAGATTTATTTTAGACTATGCTGGCTTAAATAGTCTGCAATATTATTTAGAAAATGTAC